AATGAAAGTTTAATTTCTTTCTTACATACTAAATTAATATTTTTATTTATTTTTTATAATTTATTATTTTACAGAATGATAGAGGTCATTTTATTTTTATTTAAATTTAAAATTTAAAATCTTTTGTATTAATTATACAAATTTTAAATTTTTTCTCTTTTAAATTTTTGCCAGGTCACCAAGTTTGTTGTAACGATATTCTGTTTTCCTTTTCCTTGCCTTACTGATTTTGGCATTCTGTTTTTCCCTTTCCTTTGCTTTTCTGATTTTGGTATCCCTGTATATGTATGACACACTGTACATGACGTTTGGCACTGAGAATCAATGAAAGATTTATTCAGATTCAGATTTTGTTTTTATCTTTCGTAATATGGTGTCAGATGATTTTTAATGCTCGAGGTTCAACAAATACCTCATCCTCTTCTACTAATGTTTCTCTTTTTCCCATGGAGGATCATTCCTCTCCCTATTTCCTTACCACCAGTGATCATCCCGGTCTCATTCTTGTAGCTCACCCTCTCACCGGTGACAACTTCAATTCCTGGAGTCGTGCTATGACAATTGCTCTCACAGCTAAAAACAAGCTTTGCTTCGTAGATTCATCTTCCTTCGACCCATCCCTACTGCCCTTCTCTTTTCTTCCTGGAACCGTTGTAATTCCATGGTTACCTCATGGATTCTTAACTCTGTTTCAAAGGAAATCGCAGATAGTCTTATGTATTTCTCTAATGCATATGACATTTGAACTAATTTACGCAATCAGTTTCTGCAGGCTAATGGACCTCGCCTTTTCCAATTGAAGCTACAGATTTCCTCTCTTTATCAGGGATCCATGGATGTGAATACCTATTATACAAAATTGAAGATTCTGTGGGATGAATTGACTAACTTCTCCCCGCCAGCAGCTTGTACATGTGGTGCTCTACGTTCTGTACTTGATAATGTGCAACAGGACCAAACCATGCAATTTCTCATGGGTGTCAATGAATCATTTGCCTCCATCAGAGCTCAGATCCTATTAATGGCCCCTCTTCCGGCACTTTCGCGCGTGTTTTCCTTGGTTCTCCAAGAGGAATGCCAACGTCAGATTTCTCATGGTTTTCCCGCTACACCTGACACTCCCTTGTTAGGATCGGTCACGTCTCTTGTTGATTCTCCTTCACCGACACCGTCAGTGTAAACACCATTTTTTTGTTATAATAATAATAATAATTATTATTATTATTATTATCTCGTTTGTTCTTCAAGTAAAATTCATTGAACCCTATGTTTTTTTGGTACGTGATGATACTTAAGCATTTGTACCCTTGTTCTCTAAATTTTGTATTCATGCTACCATTACCATTCTTCTAAGTTTTCTTTTCTTCTTATTTTATTTTTTTCCCTATTCTGTGTGTGTTTTTAAAAAAAAAAAATACAAAACCAAAGTAATCTAATCGATGGGTATTTTATGTATCTGTTTTCCACTATAGATTTCAAGCATATTCACAGGAAAATATAGAGAAATATTATATGACATTTGTTGGTCGGTAAAGTGCCGAATAATAGTGGGGCAACAGTGGTGAAAATTGTCCAATTCAACACTGATAAAGCTGTAAATCTCATCCGTAAAAATTGCTAAATTCAGCTTATGGACAACATCCTTATCTTATCCAGAAAAAGTAATAAACACAAGAAAGGAAATTTCAGAAAGTTGAAAAATACATGTTCAGTAAAGATGGCTACAAGTTTCCTCTGTCGACACCTCTGTTGAAGAAGACAAACACCTTACTTGCATATACAACAAGAGGATCAGAGTTGTCTGTACGCCGAGAGAAAAATAATCAGAGTTGATTTGGGTTTTAGCCTAAATAAGGCATGACAAGAAAGTAGGAGAAAAAGATAAAGGCTTCAACACAAATTTTACAAGCGTGGCACAGGAAATACAAAGAGGGAGGGTGCTGCTAGCAACAACGACAAAAAAGAAAAGAAAAGGAGAAAGAGGCGATAAGAAGAGAACAAAAATCGTTCTTTATATAAAAGGGATTCTGGGTGTTCAAAAAAAGAGGGAGGAGAAAAAGGAAAAAAAAAGGAGAGAGCATGCAAAGGAAAAGATGAAATCGGAGTAAGAGTTTGTAGTCCATGGTAGTGAAAGGTATTGAAAGAAAAACACCATCAGAAGGAGAAAGGGAGCTTCCATAAGTTAGAAAACAAAAAATTTAGAGAAGACATCACAGGAGAAACACCAAAGAGAAAAGGGGTGGGAAGACACCAGAAACCCACACTGCCACAAGACGTCAACTGCACCAAAGTTGTCGTCTCCCTTGTGCCATCGATCTGTGTCGCCGGAAAGCTACGCCGCTGCGAGCCCCATCGGTCACCATTTACCGGTCACTGCGTGATAGCTCCCATTTCTTGCTGCACTATCATCTACACAAAACCTCATCACTATTTTGTTGTACCCATCTATTGGCATACCTCTATCTCCAGTATTCAAAAGAAGAGGAGAATTTATTTGGTTAGACGTTGGGAAGGAGGTATCTTTATGATTTATTTGTTTTCTTTATCGTTTATTTCCTTACATTTTTATCACCTCCCAGCTGTTCATTACTTGTCACGTCATGCAGGGGTATCGTGTTACTAACTGAGTTCACATGGCTTTAATGATATTTACTTTTATTTTATTCCTTTTTCTCTATCATATTAGACTTTTTTTCATCATTTATCTTACGTTGGCTTTAGTGATATTTATGTTTATTTTATTCTTTTTTTCTCTTTCAGATTAGACTTTTATCATCAATATTCATCTTACGTTTAGTTTTTAGCGTTTTCTTTTATCCTCAGCTAGACGGTTTCTTTCTTTGCTTAAGTAAATAAATATAAATAAAAATCTGAAGTTACATTACTTGAACACAAAGATAATAAGAAAACTCATTTTCTTTTTCTTATTAGGATAATCACTACGATTGATATATATATATATATATATATATATATATATATATATATATATGATTTCTTATCAGGATGTTTTTTTTTATATTAACGTATGCTTTCATAAAATACAAATGGTGAAAAGCAATTTCATTTTAACAAGGTTTCTATAAAAATTGGTTTGCTGTTTAATTTGTACAAGCCTACTGATTTAAAATAATAGTCACCGAAATTCTTCTTTTGATCATTAGACTAATGCTATTTATTTGTTCAAATCAATGTCAACCTCAGTTTTAAATACCGCCACTGTTGTTATTATTTGGTATAAAGCTTGGGAGGTAAAAAAAAATTAATTTATTTTAATAAAAGGATTATAACTGAAGGTTCAAAATTTAATAGAATTTATCATAAACTTTATAACAATACAAGGGGTAATTTAGCCGTGACGGCTTCTCAATCCCTTATGTTTCATTCCAGATCATTTTAACCGTGACGGCTTGATGATCTGAAACTCATTAAATTTATCATATTTTCATTTCAATTTTAAAACATATAATAATATTAAAATTACACGTAAGGGTGATTTAGCCGTGACGGCTTGTTTAATCCTATGTGTTTGGTTAGGGATCATTTTAACCGTGACGGCTTGATGATTCGTAACTCATTAAAATTATCATATATTTTTTATATATTAAGGTAACCTTAAAATCATTTAAAGGGGATAATTTAGCCGCGACGGCTTGTCGATCCCATACTCTTTTGAATCAATTTAGCCGTGACGGTTTGGTGATTCAAAATATATTATAAAATTTATACTAATATAAAAAAATTATTGAAATCGATACAAATTATCAAAGCCTAAACTTTCCAATGATTTTCCTTAAAATTATTTTTAAAAAATTAAATTCAATCAATACACAAGCATTTTTTAAAGAATGACGTAGCTTTGAATTCCTCACTGCACCTGAGGATACGTCGGAGCGGAACTCTTTTCGTCAAGCTAAAAATAAAATTTTAATAATTTAGTCTTCTAATTTTCTAAATAATTATGTTTATTTATTTTAAGGGATTAAGCAAATATTTTTAAAAAACTATTAATAATTTACACAATTAATTTAAGGTAACCGTTTTTAAACGGATGTGTCAGGGGTGCAGTGGGATTAAGTTTCCACCCTTCCTTGAGCATAATTAGACTCCCGAACCTTTGATCTATAATTTTAAAGACCAGTTTGCAATAAAAGGTTTTCCAATTTTTCCAAAGTAAATAAAATTGGTGGCGACTCCATTTATTTTAGTTCTTTAAATTTCGGGTCGTTACAGATGGCGACTACACTGGGGACTTTAGAGAGTCAAGCCTGTTTTAATTAATTGTGTACAAATTCGTAATAGCTTTATATATATTTGCTTTACTTCCTCTCTCTCGTTTATTATGTTGTTTATCTTTGTTGTTATATTTTGACATGTGTGTATGAGGATTGGGTTCAACTTTAGAAAAGATGATTTTTGTATTGTTGTACGCTTGTTCTTCAATTGTTTTGCAGATTGGGTAGTTTTAGATTTATGTGAAGGTTTGTATGCTCCCTCCACACACAACACCTACACGTTGATCACACACTATGAGTGGGGCCCTATACCCGGGTCTGAGTGAAACATAAGATAGGCTAGAGGTTGTGTAGTGGTAGCCATTTTGGATGTACGTCCTGTTTGGTTATTGCGAAAACCTCATCTAGAGTGTAACTCTTTCATTGTGCACCACATCTGTTAGTTCAACTATCGTTGTGGTCAACACTTTGAATTGAGATCTTAGCTCTAGAGACCAAAATTGTTAGGATCATAGAACTACCTTACGAGAGTTTGTCACTTGATAGAACAACCTATTGATTTATAAAACTAAAGTCATCCAGTTTAGGATTAACCACTTTAGGACACAAAGGGAGCGTATTTCCTTCTCACTCTTTACTTCCATTCTTGCATCATTCAGCATTTTTAGCATCTCACATTGCCCATTTTGAACTCTTCCAGGGAACTTTGTTAGAGAAACGTTGATTTCCAGAGCTTGATTGTGAGTATCATTGATGGAAAATAGTATGGGATCACATCACGAGGAGGTGATACCACCCACATTGAAAAAGACTTTGCACCTGAAAGCAAAGAAGCCTGATACTGAAAGTTTGAAGGTTTTGGGTCGAACGTTGAAGAAAACACAACGTCTTACTCTTGCTAGAAAATATGGGGAAATTCTAGATCTATTAGAAGTTGATGTGCAAGTAGATGCAATCACTGCGGTTGCTCAGTTTTATGACACACCTCTGAGATGTTTCACTTTCCGAGATTTCCAATTGGCACCTACTTTGGAAGAATTTGAGCAAATTCTTGGCTTATCATTAGAAGATTTTGAGAAGCCATACCGCTACTTGGGGCACTACCCTTCTATGCATGCTATTGCTGACGTGTTAAAAGTTCCTGAGAAAAGCTTGCAAAAAAAAAGACAAAATAGAAATGGGACCGATGGATTTTCAAGAAAGTACCTGGAGGAGCACCTTCGTCACTTAGCTGAAATTGAAGACTGGGAGGCTTTCATTGATGTGCTAGCTCTCACCATTTATGGTATCCTCATGTTCCCAAATGTTGACGAGTTCGTGGACTTCGCAGCTATAGATGTCTTCTTTGCTCGCAAGTTTAGAGGTGAAAATCCTGTTCCTGCCATTCTTGCTGATGTCTACTATACTCTAAATTTTTGTTATGAGAAGAAGGGCAAAAGAATTTTGTGTTGTTTACCAATGTTATTCATATGGCTCACTGCCCATGTCTTCAAAAGAGGATACGAGATCTTATACCCCATCACTGAGTTTCAAAGATATCAGTTAAAGGCTAAAAGTGGTCATGAATGGACTCAAATTTTAGCACGATTGGATGAAAAAAGTGTCCGATGGTATCCTCGATGGGTTGAAAGAGAAACTTTGATCTACCAATGCGGTGATTTCCCTAATGTGCCTCTCATGGGTACCCGAGGGTGTATCAATTACAACCCATCCTTGTCACAACGACAACTCGGTTATCCTATGAGAAGAGCTCCCACGGAAGACATGATAGCTCCTTTCATTCTTTATGATATGAGCTCTGCACGTAATGAGTTACTTAAAAGAGTTCGAGATGCCTGGGATAAGGTCATTCGAAAAGGAAAGGAGTTGAGGATTAAGAGTTGTGGAGTCCAAGATAGCTATCAGCAGTGGGTTAGGTGTCGAGCACAAGAAGTAAAGCTACCATTCCAAGTTTTGACATTCACCACAAATGTTGAATCATCAATGTCTGCCTCCCACGACAGTGAAGAGATAAGAGAAATACAAGAAAAACTGATGAGGGTCGAAGAAGAGAGGAAGAAGATAGAAGAAGAGCTTAAGGGAGCTAGACAAAAGTGTGAGGCCTTGGAGCGAGAAAATAAGAGGAAAAATCATACCCTTGAGGAAGCTGATAAAAGAGCCAAGATCGAGGAAAATTATGTGCTAAAAACTAAGGGGTGCCTTCGTGCAGCAAACAAGGAGTTAAGCCTTCGAAGACAAGAAAGAGATGAGGCTATTGCTAAAAGCACTCAACTTGAAGAATTACTAAGAAATTCTAATGCAGAGCACAAAGAATCAAAGAGGCAAATGGCAGAGATGAGGGGGCTAATGGAGATGAGAGTTGTAGAATATGAAGACAGGCTAAAAAGAGAAAAACAATGTACAGAGAAAGTGATTGCGATGTACCAAGACTCGATTCGAAGAGAGCAAGAAGAAGTACAAAGGCTAACTGATTACATCGGAGGGCAAGATGAAACCATCGATGCATATAGGCATGAAGTGGCGTTCTGGATGACTCGCTTTTCCAAATTGGCTGAGCTCGCTAATGATGCAATTGAAGACATCCCGGATAAGTTGGGAATGGCAGAGGCACTGGTGAACCCCCTCACTACTCCTGTGGAGATTCAAGACTTCATTGAGTATTGTAGAAATTATATTATGAAAATGAAACAGATTATCATCAGGCGAATGTAAAAGCAATGTATCCCTCTGAGACACTTGTACTATGCCATGGTTTGTAATGAAGACATTTTGTTTGCTACCCGTTTGTGATCTTGTACTGACATTTAATGGGACCTAGTACTTTCGAACGTGACGTTCCGGGGAACGGTCCTAACAAAAACGATCAATGATACTCACGTCAGACTTACACGCATCAACGATTCTCCGACAAACTTGAAACATTAGCATTATTATTCATTATATTATTTATTTTTAATTTTTTTCAAATTTAATTAATATCACTTGCAGAAATCATATAAGATTCAAACATTGCGCGACCAAAGAAAGGTAATACCAATCAAACCCGAGTTCATAATACCAGATCTCGGACCAGAATGGCAGCAAGCGATCAAGATGGGAGGAACATAAGTCAGGAAGTAGACGAGGTAAGAGAAAGAATGAATACAATGGAAGAATTGTTACGAGCTATGGCAGTATCCATCAGTATGCTTGGGGCAAATGGGGCCGCAGGGAATGCGCAACAGCACTCAACAACTCAGCCGGGCGATGCCCAAGGGAATAACGGGATGGGAAACGCAAACGGGCAACCGCATATTGGTGAAGGATATCAATCAGTGGAGGATGCCAACGCTGAAGTACATGGACAAGCTGGGCAGAATGGACAGGCAACAGGGACCCAATTTGGGAATGGCCGTGTCTCTGATCAGAAGGACAAGGTAAAGGATGGATGGATGGAGAAGATGGAAGAGAAGATCAAAGCTATTCAAGGTCCTAGTGCTTACGGATCTCTTGGGGTGGAGGAATTATGCTCCGCGACAGACGTGATTATCCCTAAAGATTTCAAGGTCCCAGATTTTTCTAAGTATGATGGAAGTACAAACCCAATCATCCACCTGAAGACGTACTGCACGAAAATGGCAATATGGTCCAAGGATGAGAATTTCCTTGTTAGTTTCTTCCATGAGAGTTTGGCTGGTCCTGCATTAGAGTGGTACATCCAGATGGATCATTCTAAAATTGGTTGTTGGAAAGACTTGGCAGATGCGTTCATGAACCAATATCGATTCAATTTAGATACTGCCCCAACTAGAGAACAATTGGCAGCTTTGCAAAAGGAGAACAAAGAGACCTTTAAGCAATATGCCCAAAGATGGAGAGCTCTTGCTGCACAAGTCCAACCTCCGCTGACACTATCTGAGATGTGTTCATATTTCCTAGGGACTTTAGGAGCTCCATATGTTGGGTCAATGGCCGGTGCTGCATATCGGGATTTTGCTGATCTCATAGCTGCAGGTGAAAGAATTGAAATTTTAGCCAAAGCTGGGAAGTTGCCAATGGACTATAGACAGAGTAGTCCTCCCAAAAAAGGATTGCAACCTAAGAAACGAGAATCCGAAGTGAACCATGTCAGGCATCAGCAATCTTTTATGCCTCGACATCCTACACCAAACCCAAGCCACCCTCATCCCACACGTCCACAGTATCGTCCAAATCACGCTCAACCACATCAAAAC